TTGAATACGCCAATCAATCCTAATATGGTATGTCATATACTAACATACCAAATCTCGATTTTTTTATCTCAAAAAATAAAAAAGTTATAGGGGTGAGCCACTTTTGAGACGCACCCAATATAGGTAGAGATCTATAAAATATATTGCTGTTTATTTAAATGTGTTTTGTTGTAAATTGATCATACTCGCATATTGTGTCCGCATTCTTGAAATTCATTTCATAGACACACATCCAGTAGACGTACTTTAATTTTACATATAAAATGACAGCGATCTTTATTTCATAGCCATCGCTGGCGCCATTTTTTGGATCATATTCTATCGGAAAAGAAGTATCGAAAAATATCAATGAGCTGTTAATCGAATGTGAATTCGAAACAAAAAAGTGAGTTTTCCATCAGTATTTATAATTTTTATAAAACTAAAAAATAATGTGTTTTTCTTACTTTAGAAATTTATAAAATTATTTTCAAAAAATTTTATGGTTAAATATAGTGTATCGGAATTGAAATCAACTACCTATAACATTTTCAAATACCTGAAATCTTTACAAAAAAGTTTTAGAAGAAACTCTAATGCTCAAGAACTCTTTTTTATCATTTTTTATTGTCAAGCTTAAAGTGAAACCACTCGATGCAATAAAGTTGTATTGTAAACGATATTTTTGTGCTTTTGTTCGAATTTCTTGGTCTCTGTGCAGTCTACGTCTTTTATAACACAATACCCGCTAACAAAAGAACGCGTATAATAAAATAACATAGCCGTAATAGATATATAGACTCCGCTGAAAATAATTCGATAGACTTTTGAAAGAATCATTATAAATGTCCTTTGAAAATGTTCCGATTCGATTTATTTGTAGCGAATTTGTTCCAGTCCAACGGATGCAATCAGGGTTGGAGATATCATTATTAATTTACTACAATTTATTTAATTACTCTAATAAATTATTTTTTTTAAGAAAATCAAAAAAATGACATTTTTTTATTTGTTTGTTTGAATAGAAAAAAAACATTATTTAAATCAGATTTTCAAATAATATAAGGACTTATTTCCAATTAAAGTCCTATATTAAATGGCTAAATCTTCGTGAATCATCCTACACCAAATACCGATACCTATACTTCGTTCTCCGTTCTCTACCTATACTGGGTGCGTCTCAAAAGTGGCTCACCCCTATAACTTTTTTATTTTTTGAGATAAAAAAAAACGATATTTGGTATGTTAAAAAAAATATTTTTTTTTGGAGAAATTTTGAGAGCCACAGGTTTTTTTCTGTTTTGCATCCCTTTTAGTGCCGTAACCATAGAATAAAGCCGTCCGTAACTATGGTAATATCTGAGATTAAGGAATTATACCGTGGCAAAATTTGCGGTGAACAGGCAGTTCTAAAAAGTTTTCGAAAAATGTACAGGGAAATTTAAAAGAAAATGCACGATTTTCAACATCTTTTTTTAGCGAAAAAAACCTCATAGACGTGTTTCTGGGGTCGAAATATACCACTCCTGAAAATATTTGCACTTATTTAAGACTCACCCTGTATTATGCAAAAAGTCGCTCGCTTCAGATCAAAAAGATTTCTTTTTCAAATAATAACGTCACAAAAGTATTAATTTTTGTCATTTTAACGCCCAAGCCTAAAAGTACAGAAATATATTATTAAATTGATATAAAGTCTGAAATTCAAGGAGTGTACAAATTGTTGCTCGATATACAGTGTGTTTCAAAAAATATGTGCGATCTTTCGTGAACAGATTCCTCACGTAAAAATAAGATTTATTTTTCATACAACATAGATCCGATTCTTCTTTGTTTTGTAGCTACAGGGTGTTGAAGTCTTAATATTTTTTTGATTTATTATAATTTTCTTCCAAGTACTTTTAGCGTTTCGAATTAAGTTTTGATGGTAAAAGTTACTATAAATGCGACATATTTTCAAGCTAAAAAAGTGTCGACTTATTCACCAGGGACGTGGGTTATCACTGGAATATTTTACTAAAAAAAACATGTACACCACTGACTTTTTTTTCTCTTGTTAGCTAAATAGTATAAACAGTTTAATGCCGATTAAAAGTTGTCTTTTGATATTTTGTCGATTTTGGCCTCCTTGATGAGATAAACGTAATTTTATTCATTTCCCTTGATCCAAGTCTAATAGCAAGTTTAAAAAAAAATAATATCATTAACTTGCCAAAGTTTTAAATAAGTACTCATTGATTTCTCATCAAAAAAATATAACAAAAAATTCCTATAAACATTTCTATCGAAATGCATAGTTTTAGAGTTACAGGATGTTAAAACTTTTAAAAACTAGATTTTTTGTAATTATCTTAAATACCATTATTTTTTTATTGAATGCTGTTGTATGTTAGACTAACTATTAGTCCTGTATAATAATATATATTAGTAATAATATTTAATAGTAAATTAGGTCAAATATATAATTTATTAATTTTATTTGACTATTAATTTTATTAATTGTCATTAATAGTATGTTCTATTCGGAGTAAAAATGTATTTTTGTGCCTCCCTGTAACGTCGGGCTAGCTTTACGCTGCTGGTCCGTTTAATAATACATTTTCCTACTTTTGTGCCTAGTCGTGCTAAGTGCTTTACTTTTATGCCTAGGCATTAAAATGACGTTTTTGTATTGTCAATCACGTCGCAAAAATTAGAGCTTTTGTGACGTTTGAAAAAAAGCTTTATATTTTTGAAATTCGAAAAAATTTATCTATTTCCTGAATAATCAAACATAGGCAATTCTATACGTATTTTGAAAAGTTAGTTGAATGTGGCAATTCAATCAAAACTTTACAAGTTTCCCAATTTAAACTTTTTGTAGTCTTATTTCATGAATTTATAAAACAGACACTTTCATATCTAACTAAACTCATTTAATACAAATAAAAATAAAACAATTAAAGATATTATTTATGTTTTTTTCAACAATGTTTATATCTAAACCATTTTCAATCGCTTTGAACTTCGAAATTGTTCAAAGGAATTTATTTTTTCGACGATCGAACGGCGATATTTTTTATGGCAATCAATTAAAAAAATATTATTATACGTCGCTGGCGGACCAAAAAAAATCCGTTTTGCTCATAATGAAGTAAAGCTTAATGACTATCGAGTACGATATAAAAGGGTCCGAAGCTTGTGCCACGTGGAACTCGTTTATCTCTGGCCCTCGTCTCATTTTTTAGGATTTTTTTTATTAAAATTTGTACACAATTTTGCCCGTTTTTTGTTTGCAATAGGAAGAAACTTTTTTAATATCATTTTTCTGAAAGAGTAAATAACGACATAATGAATTTTAAAATTAGTTAAGTTTTATTATTTAATTTTTGAAGCTAAACCGGGTGCGTTTCAAGTGTCTCGCCCCTATAATTTTTTAATTTTTTCAGAAATAAAAACAGATTTAGTATGTTAATATATGACATAAATTGGGATTGATTGACGTATTCAATTGTTTTTGGTCACTTCCTGTTTCACCGGAAATAATTGCTACTTTTGATTTTTAAATGCACCTTCACACACTGAATAGAATGTCATATCTTATGCCAACTTTTGACATTTTCGCTTAAAAAATGTTTGTTTTTGTAAATTGTTGTTTGAATTGTTTGTCTTTTAAATTTCAATCTAGAGTGCCATGGCTGTATTAAAAACACTAATTTTTAATCAAGGAGCCTTGGATTTGATCGTCTAAGGTTTTTCGTGTGTTATCCTGGCCAATTAAAAGATGCCCAAATCGTATTTTTATTCATATCTCAATTTTTTCAAGTGGAACAAGAGTGGCTCATTAGCATATTTGGAAAAAGTATTTTTTTACGAATACTTTGGTACCACATACTTGTAGTGACAAAAAGCTGTTTATTAAAAATAACTAATGCCGGGTCCAGACCAAGGCGACAAAAAATAAACAGCATTTTGAGACAAAAACAAGACAAACTTGCGACAAAAAATGGGGAATTCTGACAAGACAAACTTGAGACAAATTGTCCACACCGCAAGGACAAAAGTACAACAAAGTCAAAAGTTAGTTGTTGCGAATCAGTTTTATTACTACTCCTACTGTTGGCAGCTACTGTTGGTCTCCTACTGTTGGCACTGCGCCGACAACTTATCGTAAAATATACGAACAAAATATAGACACTTTGTCTTTACCGACTCGAAACGGGACATTGAAAAGTCTCCGAATTTTGAAACAAAACAAAAATGAGACAAACATATCGCAGGAATGTATTGGATTTGTCGGAATTTTGTCGTAAAACATGAATGTTTCTGTCTTGTCGTTGTTTTGTCTGCGTGGTCTGGAATAAAAAGTCTACTAATTTTTGATGACAAACAAAAATTAGCAATGAAATAAATATAAAGTCAGAAATAAAAAATATAAAACAAAGTTACAAAAATTCTGTTTTTTATCCAAATATCTTTAAAAGTAATAGGATTTTTTTTGATTCTGCAACGGGACGCTGAATAGTTCAATAAGGCGAAACTTTTTTGTAAATTTATTGATCTCTGTATCTTTTCTGATTTACGAGATCCCTGTCGTGTGAATTCTTATATGGGACGCATTGTATACATTTACTGTAAGCCGAATTGGTCATTTTTACAGCTTTTTATTTACATTTAACTTAGATTTACTTTTGTTCATACGGATATTTAATAACAAAATTTCAAACTTCACCGAAGGTTTTTTTCGAATTAATTTACTTACATTTTGAATTTATTTTGGTTATTGTATTGTGTCCAGTAACTAGTATGTAAATTGTAGGTATTGGTTAGGCTCGAAGGAAACAGTTATATTTTGTGCGACGTTTCGCGACTTTATTGTCGCTTCTTCAGGTACTAAAATATTTAGTACTCCAAGTGCCTACAAAATTGATTCATGGCGACTCCAAAAGCGACAATATAATCGCGAAACGTTGCAAAAAAATAATTGTTTTCTTGGAGCCTTCCCAATTTAGTTAGTGTAGATAGGATATTGGAATATTTACCTATTATAGTCATTCAGAGTTCATCCGTCCTTCATTATACGGTGGTGGTTCTTCTTCAGTGATCAAATTTAGTTTTACAACTTCTAAAGCTGAGTCGTATTCAACGCCCATATTTGGTACCTTAAAAAGAAGTAAGTGCATTAATTTATTATTATTTCAAAAGTGAATTTATAGAAATACGTGATCAAGCAGTCCTAATTATGTTTAAGATTTATAATGTCTTTTTGGTAGACAAGTATTGGTTAATAAAATTTAATTTTATTAAGCGGTTTCATACAGGGTACAAAAATATTCAGTAACTGTAATTGAACACAGTCACAGTAAGCTTGCAGGTTGATGTGCTGTATAATGTCTAGGAAAAATAATTATTTTTACTCAATTTACCATTAACAAAAGAACATAATGACAATACACTGACAATAAAAGTTTTATTTTTGTTTCTTATTTCTCCTAAAAATAAAAATAATGTTCTGAAATAAATATAACTTACTATTATGTTTTCCATTTCAACACTGTCGGTTTTCAAGGGTGGCGGAGTCAACTTTTTCTCTTTGATAGATGGCGCTCTGTGTATCTGAGATGAGAGCAGCGTTTCTTGTTGGGTTTCGTTGTTGCCTGAAACAAAAGTTAGAATTGTCAATCATTTGTTAGTACTTGCTATTTGTGTTAGTACAATAACATTCTATTAGGATTATTTATATGTAGGAGTAAAAAAGAATGTAGTGCATAACTAATACCTTAATTATTTTTATGGCTTTAACGATAATAAGGAAATAATGGAAAAGAAAACTATAAAAATCGGATATACGGGGTGTCCAGAAATATTTAGTGCGACAGGTGCAGGCTTAATATACCTATTGGAGATAGCAAAATCTCTAAATCTAGGAGTTTGTAAGGTTTCACCTGAACCGTCAGAAAGTGAAATAAAACTATCAGAAAGTTAAGAAAATATAACTATCTTTTTTATTGGGACACTGGACCCTGTATATATCTTTTTAAAGACACAACACTTTTTTAATTATTTTTTTTTTCATCGATGCAATCGCTACCATACACAGATGGAGAATATAGAATATACCGGGTGCGTCTCAAAAGTGGCTCACCCCTATAACTTTTTTATTTTTTCAGATAAAAAATCTAGATTTGGTATATTAATGTATGACACAAATTAGGATTGACTGATGTATTCAATTGTTTTCTGTCACTTCCCGTTTTACCGGAAATTACTACAACTTTTGATTTTAAATGGTACTCTCGGTGTTTTGTTTTCTTTATTCGATAGAAAATGACACTCTGAATAGAATGACATATCATTGCAACATGGGATTCATACCGACAATTTGACTCAAAACACCAAGTGTGTGGTACCAAATTATTCTTAAAAAATGCCTTTTCGAAATATGCTAATGAGCCACCCTCGTTCCATTTGAAGAAATTGAGATATGATTGAAATTACGATTTGGGCATCTTTTCACCGGCCAGGATAAGACACGAATAACAAGACAATCAAATCATTTTTTCCAAGGCTCCTTTAATTAAAAATTAGTGTTTTTAACACAGCCATGGCACTCTAGATTGAAATTTAAAATACGATTTTTTTAAGCAAAAATGTAAAAAGTTGACATATGATATGTCACTCTATTCAAAATGTCATTTTCTATTGAATAAAGTAAAAAAATACCGATGGTGCCATTTAAAAATCAAAAGTTGTAGTCATTTCCGGTGAAACAGGAAGTGGCCGAAAACAATTGAATACATCAATCAATCCTAATTTATGTCGTATACTAACATACCAAATCTCGTTTTTTTATCTGATAAAATAAAAAAGTTGTAGGGGTGAGCCACTTTTAAGACGCACCCGGTATAGGAGTGTTGTTAATGACCGCGACATTACAGATCTATTTTATCACCCTTTCTTGAGTTATAACTTATCATACAGTATCTGAGGTGGATTTATAGAGGTTTGTTCTCCATCTCAGATATCAGTCGTGCATGGCACGAATTGTTTTCATCTCGGCGTACTCAGTAATGAGGTGTTTTTCCACACATTTAAGTAAGAACAATCAAACCAAACCAAGCCAAACCAAATAACTATTTTTTACGGTTTTTCTTTGTTATTCCCAGTATATTTCATTATATCGAACATTATGTGACTCTCTTTAGTAGTACACATTGATCGAATGTTTTCTTTACTTTATTTACAATATTTCATCATATAGGAAGAGCTCCAATTTTTTTAATACTTTATTTGAGATTTTACATTTATTAAATGTAATTTTACTTTACACGCCCTACAAATTGGCTTTAAAAGCTTCTGCCTAATAGCAAAATCCCCCATTTAATAAAACATCACGTATTTCACGGCCAAGTAGTAAATTATGGTTTTCGCAACATTAAATTTTAATTTTGTTTTGACCCCAAAAATTTTCAATTATTTTCGACATTCCCTTCTTCTCCCAGCATGGGACGTGACAGGGTGACTGAAAGTAGACGTCATTCTCAGCAAATGCCAACTTAGAATTTAGGTAAGCAAAACAAAAACAAACCGCAATTTGTCCCTGGCCGACCATTTATTAAATTTCTCGTTGGTAAATAACCAATTTTTGCACTTGTTTTTACCATATTTTAGACATTATTGTGAAACGTTTTAAAACTTTTCTTTTTTAACTTATTTAATGAAACTGGCCTTAATTCTAGTCCTAGAGCTTATTTATTATTTTGTTTTTATTGTGGGCAATAATATTTTATAGCATTGAAATAACAGCAACTATAACTTTTTTGGCGACAACTCTGATGCTGATGTTTAAATCATTATAAAATGGTGTCCAAATAAAATTGTAATGTTGAAAAAATTTTATTCCGATGGTACTTTTCGTTCTTCTAGTAGTTGTATGTCCAAAGTAAGTTGGTTCGGCATATACAGCCAGTGATCTAGCGTTCCCAAAAAGCTTTATAACAAGTGTCTGATTTGAAATTTCCGCTCCAATATTTTTCATAAAATAAACGGGGTATTGCTACGCACATTTTAAAAATATTTTTATCAATATATAGTATACTGGGTGTTTCTCAAAATTGTTGGTGTTTCTGGCGCATCCCTATAAATTTTTAATATTTTCAGATAAATAAACGAGATTTGTTACGTTAGTATATAACATAAAAATCATGTTTGGTCGACGTATTCAATTGTTTTCGGTCATTTCTTGTTTCACCGGAAATGACTACAACTTTTGATTTTTAAATGACACCTTCGGTATTTTTTTAATTTATTCGATAGAAAATGACACTCATTACATTATATATTTTTAATATTATTATTTTTTTATATTATCTTTTGATCATTCTGGCTTAAAAAATGCATTTTAAATTTCAATCTAGAGTTGTGTTAAAAACCATAGCATAGTTCCATAGCTGTGTTAAAAACACTAATTTGTAACCAAGGAGCCTTGCAAAAATAGATTTGATCATCTAATGATTTTAGTGTATTGTCCTGGCCGGTTAAAAGATACCCAAATCGTATTTTTAATCATATCTCAATTTTATCAAATGGAACGAGGGTGGATCAGTAGCGTATTCGGAAAAGGCATTTTTTACGAATAATTTGGTATCACACATTTATTGTCGTTACATTTATCGTCATGGCACTCTAAATTGAAACTTAATATTCTATTTTTTTAATTGAAAATGCCAATAAAAAATGAAATAATGACATATGATATGCCATTCTATTCAGAATTGTCATTTTTATATGTATTATAAAAAAGGATAATATTATGTTTAATACAGAGTGATTTTTGAAATATAACCAATTTGTAAAGTATATGCGTAAAGTTTCTCTTTATTTCAAGCTTTTCTAAAATTCTAAAATTGAAAATGTTTAATATTTTCTAACCAGAAAATATTGTCTTCTTCAAAGTTCATTCTACTAAAATTTACAGTATTTCGTTTGATATGTACAGGGTGAATTAAAATTATATGCTGTGTACAGGGTGGATCAAATTGGACGCTTTTAAAGGAAAACACCCTTTTCTATATAGGAGATAGACGAAAACTAATATCGGTGTCTGGAGCTCAATTTTTATCAAAAACATAATGGTGAAAACCGCACATCGATATCTGTTATCGTTTCGGAGTTACGGGGTGTTTTTCAAAAATATGCATTTTTAACAAATCGCTGTAACTTTTTTGCTATGGAAAATGTTGTATTTTTACGAAAACATCTCCAAAGCACCTTTTTACGTAGAATTTAACGACTTAAGTATATTTTTTTTTGAATTAATAATTTAAGAATTATCAACAGAAAATTTGGTTTTATATATGGGACACCCTGTATATTTTTAATTCATTGAAAATATTTTACAATTACCTTTCCAAAAATGTAGCATACTTGATATTTTGCTGGATTCCTCTCCGAGATATAGAGTTTTTAAAAATTCACCCACTTTGAATAAGTAGCCTTTGAAGCCTACTTATTCAAAATGGGTGAGCACCGGCTGTAATGCAAAAAAATTCTAGCTGTGAGCGGCAATTAAAACGAAAATAATATTTGCAATGAGAGATGCAGTATTTTTATAATATTTTTAGATATCGATATGCGGTTTTCACCATCATGTTTTTGATAAAAATTGAGCTCCAAACACCGATATTAGTTTTCATCTATCTCCTATAGAAAAGGGTGTTTCCCTTTAAAAGCGTCCAAATTTGACCCACCCTGTACAGAAAATTTAGTCTACAAACAAAAATAGGATTTCCATACAAATTTATGAAAATTAATGGAAAATACCTTGACTGATAATACATACCGTGTGATGCATCGACATAGTAAATCGCTTGAAAATTTTGAACTGTCCTAATAATGACTCTCCTATTCATTTTACAGCGAAGTATATACAGGGTGTCCCACAATTACTGCGACAAACTGAAAGGGGTTGTAGAGGGCATCAAAACAAGTCATTTGAGTATACGAAATAGGAACCCATGTTCGGTATTATTGAAATGAGCGGAAGGAACTTGACTGGACGTGTACTAAGGTACCAACACGGACTGCATGCCGGGGTTGCCAGGGTTCCTACATCCATGAACAGGCGTGTGCATTTGTGTCTTCAACAGAATGGACGGCACTTTGAGCAGTTTTTGTAAATGTTTTGAATAAATAATACAACTTGAAATTTACGATTTACTCCATCTCCTGCTAAAACGGCACATTTCCGGACATGGGTTCCTATACTTAAATTACTTGTTTTGATGCCCTATACAACCCCTTTCAGTTTGTCGCACCAATTGTGGGACACCCTGTATTTAATAAATAGATTTTTAAAGGTTAACAACTGATAGGTATGTTGACATTTGCCTTGCTTTGCATTGTCACCTGTTCAGTTTTAATTTAAAATTAAATTGACCGAAGTTGTTCAAAATTGACATGTGTATTCAGAATTTGCAGACCTTTAATAAACCTATTTACGACTTCACAAGGGAACCAATATTTGGACAGTTCAAAATTTGCATGAAATTTCCTATGTTTCCAAAGCCGATTTATTATTCCATGTTTAAAAATATACAACTTTAATTTAAATATATGTTTGTATCGGCGTATACATTGAAAAAAATATTTTTGAAATATGCGCTGCTAGTGTTTTATGACTCTCGCTTTAGGCATAATAAATTTGGAAATGTAAGTGGTAAATTTACAAATCCGCCATCTCTAATCACGAGCAACAAGACTCTAGAAAAGCAATTATTATTATATTTAATCTCTAATATAACCTTTATCAATATGACATTCAACTAGAACTCTATTCATAGATAATTGGAATTTGCACAGAAACAAGATACAATAAGTTATTTTCTGTATATATAGAGCGCTTAAAGTGGACACGGATTGAAGCCTGGCTCTAATCTGCACTGTGCTAGTTTAAGTAGATAGAAATTGGAATTTCTAGACAATGATTTGAAAATTAAATTAGAAAGCAGATAAAGTAGTGCATAAAGAAATTTAATTTTAGCTATAATTTGGAGCACGAACTAAGCTCGTTCCAATTTAGTTTTAATTAAGCAAATTGCCCTTTGCTAATTGCAAATGTTCCCCATTTTTATTAAGTTGTTACTTTCTATTTGAGTCTTTAGTCTAAAAAGGCACGTGGTTCAAAAACGCCCAAAAGTCTACTAAAAATTAATGTATTCAAATATTGCACGCTAATGTCATTTTTGTAGTTGTGAAATCAGAAGACCCATAACGATGCTAACATTCCTAATCGCGAGCTAACGTTACATCCATTCAGCATTATACAAGGTGAATCTTAAATAAATATAAAAATTTTTAGGGGTGGTATACAGGGTGGCGCCTCTCACACGCCGCGGAAGCTTCCAGGAGAACGACAGTTTGTACTGAAATGAAATTTTGTGAGCTTATGTAGGTTAATTCAGAGCACTTTATCAAAAAATATAGAGAGTTCTACAGGGTGTCCCCAAAAAAAGTTACCTATCAAAGTTGTGTTTTTTGTAACGGAACACCCTATATATTAATTGATTTTCTCATTCTGGGAGAAAAATAAAGGTGAGTTTTATAAGAGAAGTATATGACTAAAATGTAAGGTTTTTGACATATTTAGCATTTTCTAGAAATAAAGAACAATTTTTAAATTACAATAAAAGCTATCTAAATTGGTATTTACCCAGTATAACCTAATATGTAGTTAAATTAACTATTGTACTTTAAATCAAATTAAAACTTGATTCAAAAAGTTATACAGGTTGAGACAAAATTAATATTGAACATTGGTCACAAAAGTATGTTACTCTCTTATTTTAAACGGAACACCCAGTATATTATTTGGATATTCAATGGAGAATTTATGTCTCTTCAAAATACTATTAAGGTTGCCTACCCCGCAAGCAAAGATTTTCCTAGATATTTTCTTTTACATAATTTGATCTGAGTAGATCTTTATTGTTTGATAAAATCTAGGTGGCCGTGATATGTTTGACGTTACTTCAACATAGCTGTCTAATTAGTCCAACTTTAACTACTAGTTATCATTTTTTGTCAGTTAAAACAAAAAAGAATTCTCAGAAATTTGCCGAAAATGCAAACTTATCCTACATCAGAGAGAATTGATATGATTCTATTAGTTGGTAAATGCAGTGTGCATTCACCAAATAATAGAATACTATTGATTTTATCTATAGTCTGGATTTTTTTATGGGGATGTGTTAAAGACAGTGTTTACAAATCTCGACCAACTATTGTCGACAACAGGAAAGAAATTATTGTAGCTGCTTTTCGAGGTAGAACTCCACATAATGCCTTTTAAAATGAAAAGATCCTTTTGAAAAGACAATCATTTTATGCAGTTAACAGGAAAGGAAGCATTATTTTGAGCATTTGATTTCATCTAGCTAATTTTTGTCACATAATTATAGGTTTATATCTAGTTTTAATTCTATAATAATTAAAATATGTTTTAAATGTGTATCTTTTTAGTACCGTTGAGTATTTTACTGTACAATCTTTATTTTTTGTTAAATTAACAGAAGTTATATAACTGCCACCGTAGATGCGGTCAATATTATATGACACCGAACAATTTAATTTTTGAAATATATATAGCCACATATTCTCTATTTTTTTTTATTTCTTTATGTCACAGTGGCTATGTTTTTATTTGTTTTTATTTATTGTTTATATATTTTATTATTTTTTTCCTCCAAAAATTTTAAATATTTTTTAACTTAAAAACGATTAATGTTAGGTATAGAGTATTTAACATTTTTTAACAGAGATTATTTAACAGAGAATTTATGTAAGTAATAAAAAAATGAGGGTAGCCATTTAAAATAAGAAAGTTCCTGTCAACTTCTGGTATTTCCGGAAGTGCCGCTATTATGAGCGAATGAATATATTTTCAATCTATAGATCTCGTCGTGAAACAGTGATGTGAAAAAATCTCCGATCTAGATATCATAGCTTTCTAGAAACTTCTAATGCACGCTCGACCTGGAACGCCCTGTATATCAACACCAGGAGCACGTCTATAAGGTTTTTCCGCCAACAAATGTTGAAAATCATGCATTTTCTTTTAAATTTTTCTGGATATTTTAGGAAACTTTTTAGAACTGCCACCGCAAATGTTCCTACGATATAATTTCATAATCTTTGATATTACCATGGCTTTACTCTATGGTTACCGCACTAAAAGGGATGCAAATACAAAAAAATCCGGTGGTTCTCAAAATTTTTTGCAAATAAATTTTTTAGTTCACTTTGAATTTTTTTTCAATTTTTAATGTGAAATAACTCAATTATTTTGGACTTATTTGGAAAACGGTAAGAGAAAATATGTTTCTTTTATCGTTGTCTTTTATCGAGATTTACAAGCCATGAAGATATTTGCAACTTATTTAAGATTCCAATAAATAGTTCAAATGAAACAAAAAAAGACACGTTGAATATCAATATCTTCTCATTTTATTTTTTGGATATTTTAGTTATCGTTATTTAAATCATAGAATTATAGGAATCATATTATTAATCATAGGAAGTTCAGTGCAGTTTAGTGTATTTATTTACTTTTACTCTTTAGTTTGTGTGCAGCTACTTACTACTTAACCTGATTAATATATTTTTTAAATTTTTCTTGTGCTGAGTAGGGAACTACTAGTATACATCTAATATATACTTTTCCTAACATCGAAAATAAATTAAGTTATTGCGCACCATATCCTTCATTACCATTGCATGTTCTTTCGGATCTCCAGTTTGTGAATCGGCTGTTAGATGGTACTCTGACGATCGATGCGTCGAAACAGGGAAGTACTTGCTTGAACTCTTTGCGGAAGTTCTCGTTCAGCCATGCGTAGAGGAACGGGTTGTAGCAGGTGGATGACATTGCCATTTGGTGAACTAAAATTAATAACAATTTATTAATATTACAAAAACTAAAAACGTTATTTTGGGTTTTAAAACTTAGAAAAAGACTTCATGAAATTTGTATATCATTATTCATAAATCATTGTTCAAAATAACGGCTAACATTACGATATACAGGGTGGTCCGAAATGTAATCGGGAAATTTCTACAGCATATTCTGCAGATAAAAATAAGTAAAAAAATCATATAAAGGGTATAGCCGGAGTAGTATAGGAAATCTGCCCCGCGGGTTTTTTGACTTGCACTCAAGGGATCGATTTGCTCACTTTCTGTTTTACCGGAAATGGTTATAACTTTTGATTTTTAAATGGAACCCTCGGTATTTTTTTACTTTAATCGATAGAAAATGACATTCTGAATAGAATACT